GTCTTCAATATATCATCTACTGCCCCACGTCTGTCTGCTCCTATTGACTACTGGCTACGAACTGCGTATAATCTAATAGTCGCAATCGTCCTGTGAGATCCTTAGCCGTCCGGATCTTACAGGGATCATTAAGTATTTCCCTCGCTCTACCGTAAGCAATCTCGGGAGGCATCATTACGCATTCAGCCACGGCTTCCTTCGCAGGACCTCTGCAGTAATGCATCAAATATAGCATCGTCTGTCCACTATCTTGCACTCTATCCTCTATGTAGTATTTGAATTGTTGAATAAATCTTCAATAACACCTTGGGTTGCCATCGAAAGCCTCTAAGTCCACTCTAGGTAGGTCTGCCTTAACCACGCAAGAAGTCGGTTGGACCGCTGGTGCCTCACATATGGGTGTGCTACTTACCAGCCCGGCTAGGTAATTCTTTACCTTATCCTGCGGGTCAACCTGCACGTCAACGAAGGAATCATCGTCCGAATCCAGCTCTAACTCCGCTAGACGTACCCCATTACGCGTCAGCATAAGCTGCAGTACTCCATTTCCTCTACCTTAATCTGCGCTCGCAATAACGCAACTGACTTTATCTTTCTATGCTTAGATGAGTCAGAGCCAGGAGATGAACCAATAGCTAGAGGATTGCCGGAAAGGCCGACGTGCGTCGATTCCTCTGGTAGATAGAGATCCATTGACGGGGCTTTCTCCATCTTCTCCGGGTTCGTAGACCGTGGAGTACTGTGCCCGTTAAGTACTCTTACGGCTATCTGCTTTCTGAGTTTGAGTCACGCGTGCCAATCCGGAAAACGACCCATGAAATCGGAATTCTGGAATCACGGTACTATTGCAAATACAATAATATACATATCCAACAAACCTTAACGGATTCTCCTTTGCAGATACCGTAGGGCTACAAAAATAAAGCGGTACAATTGCCAGCCTGAGGATAAAGCGCAGATCACTACGCCTCAATATCGATATCGTCACAACCAAACAGATATCGACGGCGAGCAACCGCAAAATCACAATGTCCGACCAAAGTCCGTAAGAGTTACAAAAATAGTTCAGTGAAACAAGGTTTCAGTTCATCCGGTCAAGGGGAATGAATATGGGGATTGGTTGTCACTTGGGGTTAGACACGGGAGCACACTGTTGGCAAGCTGTCTTCTACAGACGCGTTGAGTCTAATCCCTCTTCCAAGCGATGCTGCTGGTTTGAAAATAACAGTTGGCAGAAATTCAGGTTTGTCCTGCTAAGACCCCCTGAGAGACTGAATAAAAATAGGATGCTGCCGTGAGACAGCAACCAATAAGCAGAACGATCTCCGTGTCATTTTTTGATAACAGATGTGTAGAGGGCTCAGAACTTACTCTTCAATATCCGCTGATTTTTCGGTTACCACCGCTTTCCAGAACTTCGGCCACCGGTGTATAAAATAGCCAGAACGAGATGCTACAGTGGGCCGGTCGCTAAACAAGTAAAGGAAAACGGCTCAGTAACGAAATTTCACAAGACCCGCCGAAGTTATTCATGTCATCAGATTGCTCACCGTAGTCCCTGCGTTGAACTCTCACCCTCTGGGAAAATTAATCGGACATTAGTGACGTATGCCACCAGTTACATGGGAGATTACATGAACAATAATATCAGTGATCAGGTCGACAAAGATCTGGTCTTGAACTTAACATTTGACCCATAAATATCTAGCTTTCAGCCGACGGGGATGCACTATTCCTGAAACCGTGAAACAACCAACGCTAGCGAACAACAAGCATGCTCATATTCATGGAAGCAGCGATGTGGCCTTCCTCTGAAGAAGGACGTGCTAAAAGCGGTAGGCCCCAAAACCCGCGCACGCCGACTGACCGCGAACACCAGCGCATCAGCCAATACGATCGGTATGATTTCATCACCAAAATACATAGTACTGCTCAGAAGGTACCTGCAGTGCGCAGCCGCGTGAGTACACTACAACGTAATTCAAGTAGTCACAAAAATTTAAACAATCGTGTATAAATCTCCGTTCACTAACACGCAAGATAAACGCGGAGAGGGCAGCTTTCCTGGGTCGATTCCATTCTGTCCCCCAGGTTTCAACCGCATCTTCGTTAAATTGTAAAAAATAAGCTGAATCCATGGTGAGAATATTGGGATGAAAAAGAAGAAGAAAAACGATGATAGATCATTTAACGGAAAATTGCAAACGGAATAAAAGTAATCGGCGTCAAAAGCAGAGCGCTTTGCTCTTCCAGATCCGATGGCTACCCGTAAAACTTTTATGTCGAACATATTCACTCCAAATTTAAAAATTCCGCAAAATGTTCTGCTTTCTCAATTATTGCAATGACATCCACACTGGGAGTGAATACAATCAAACTTGTGCAGTACTGTTAGTCGTCTTATCCTTTTGAGTCTTATAGGCAACTACAGTCGCATTAGATTTGTTTTTGTTCGCCGGAACACTCATTGCCCGGGGTTACGATTTTCTGTGTGCCTTTCCCCGGCCGGATTGCTTGTCACTGTCGGTGCTTTTGTTGGACATCTAGTAGATTTCCGTGGATTGTTTCAGCATGGTGGATTACTCAGCTTTCCAAAACCTTCTAGTCCAGCTGCAAAGCTCCGACAATGAAGTCCGAACACAAGCCGAGGTTTATTTGTTTGCCTGTGTGCGTATACTAATGTTTTCAGGCTGCGTACGATGGCATACTGGCGTCCACTCGCTTCAGTTTTCTCTTGCAAACCATCAGCGACAAGAATGTTTCTGGTCAGGTGGGTTTTCACTGTCGTATTTTGTTCTGAACCGGACTTGTTCCCGTTGCCCCGAATCCGTGGTACGGTTACATGACCCCTAAAAATGACGGACTGGTCGTTCATGCAGGTTCCAGCTACGTTTGCATGGGGTGTGTCTGAAGTGGTATAAAATTAAGGACGCTAAATTTAGAGGAGTGGACGTCGCGTTATCCCACGCACTACGGGTGCGTTGTTTGCACTCAGCCCGAATTTATAGATTCCACAGGAAATGAGTCACGACACGAACGACAGGACTGATTGTTTCGCTTTGCAAACTTGCCAATGTTATTTAAAACCCACTCCCATAGGATTGCCATCGAGACTCGATGGCAGGTCAACCTGCTTGATCTTGGATTTGAACCGGCTTCTCATATCCTGACTCCTGAACCATCAGATTACCCCCCATAAAGGCCGCAACTCCCGTGTTAGGGGCTGTAGGTCCTACGTGTTTTCCAAGGCTAGGATAAATATTACGTTGAATGCGGCCAAAATTCCTACACCGCGTGACAGTCTGTTACAGCCGTCACTTTCCGACCAGAATGGTGGATTAACGTGTCCATGATCTTGTGCTTGAGAATCCTGAGTCAGTGAATGCTTGTGCTGCTCTGCGCATACGCAGCCTAGGCGTACGTAACTTTGATTGCACACGCCACCCTCCCGAGGGGTTGGGGGCTTTACAGGTGGTTTTCATAGTTTCCCTTTATTCCCCACAGGGGCGCGATGGATCATTGGTTATATCGCAAATTTACTGACCGGAAGGTCCACAGTTTGAACCGGACCTCTGCCTCTTGACTTCCCGTCAGCTTGAGCAACCTGGCAGTATACAATCCCTTGTGCTTTCTTCACCCTCGATAAATGAACTGACCACGTGTTGCATATGCCAGTCGACCGACTTCCTCGAAGGGCTCTTTTCGCACAACCACGTGAAGGGTGGAAGAGAGCCAGAGGCAGTCAAACAATGACTTGGCAGCGAAGTATGAAAGCCATTACCAGCAAACTCAGCTGCGCTGGTCACTGCCGTCTTCCTGGATGGGGACCCTGAGACGGGCCACATCAATGGCTAGAGATATTGTCAAATATGGCCCAGTCACGCCGTCAGTGGCGTTCATGCATTCGTGCTATTGCCTTCAATGCATAGCTCCTTTTCCGACCCCCACCAAATGACAGGCTACTGACAGTGCTGGATTTATGCACCAGTTTATCAGCTCCCGCCTGCAATGCGCAGCTACCCACTCCCCAAATCATCGGTGAACGAAACTGTGGCAGCTACAACACTGTATGAACGAGTACGCGGTTATTACAGCTAACGATGATGATGATGATGATGGTGTGCTATCTTCTAGTAGCACGGCACTAAAATGGTGCTTTAGCTGAACGATTCTTTTATATTCCCCACACATTCATCAGGCTTTCTGGAATCTATCTGTCATTCATTTGACCTCGGCATACCGTTGAAATTCACGTTCACTACGTTGATTCCTGAATTTCATACTAACGATACCTCAGTGGTGGTTTGGGGATAACGACGAAACATGCAAACGTTGCAAGATTCCTAAGGCTAGGTTGTCGGGATGTTTGATGCCGCAACAGTTTTCCGTACACGTCTGGGTATTGATTGGGTTATCTGCTCTCGGTTGCTTTCCAGTGTTTAGGATGGTCACTCAAGCTTCTGCGGCGTTGCTTTCACTTGAAAGTCGCTTATGCGAATATTTTGTCCCGAATGCATAGCTGTTGGCATCAAGACTTCACATTAGCCTGCGAAACCACCACAGACCGATTTATTCGTCGATTAAGCCAGCTTGGATGTAAAACAATGAGGAGCAGCCTAGTCTCTAAACGTGACAGGCGCAATGCAGTGTGAATCGCAGATGGCTCAGATTCATGTTTTTGCCCGACCTTGTGCAACGTAAAAACAAAGCCAGCTCCCGCATTGTGACTGCAGCTCTGTCGGTAGCGCGCGACGTGTAGTCAGACTTCATGCTTCATTGACAGCCCACTTTCACATCAAAACAGCCCTCCCAGAGCACAGGATGCGTGGCACCGAGGTTGAGGGGAAATAAGTTAGAAGTTCTGAGGCCTTGCGCTCTAAATTTTTATCAACTATGGCTTAGTTTGATTTTGTAAATGAAATCACGAATCGATTGTTCAATTTACAACACTGTACTGGCTGTATCTACCTACATGCCTTTTGACGCTTGTTATGAATACCGAGTGTGCGGTGACTCATTGAGAGCGATTTTGGAGGAGTCATGGTTGTTTTCTTTGATACTGCCTGACTCATTCATCGGGGTGTATCGAGCGTTTGTAGCACCAGTTAAGCGCAAAAGGGATGCAGTTCAGAATAGTCAGTGTTCAACTTAACCAGCCCCATGTGTATATGAGCCGGACTGTAAAGTAAAGAACTAGTGAAATGCGAGAAAATATGCCAAACAGATTACTACACACACTCCGGTTGTATTTGGTTCGGACTGAAGGTGCCACGCTTTCTTGGTTCTCAGTACCACAAAGGCTGTTGATGACCGTGAAAATAAGCTTATCAGGACAAGGGGTGCAAGTGGAGTCCGGAGTATTCATTAATGGTGGTCAGTAAAAATGGTCTAGGAAGTGGATCCTTAGAGTGGCTGGGTGACATTGCGAAGAGACTTTGATGTTAGTCCAGCGCATGCTTCACAAGTGAATAAAGCGTACTCCGCATAACCGAAAGACAGGTTTGTTAATGCGTTCAATAGCACATGGGAATTCCCGATTGGTATTAGGGATGATGTAACTCTCGGAACCTTCGGTCTTTGTCGTCGTCGCACAAATTTTTTGGGAGTTACTCGGTCATATCTTACTAGGTCTCTGAATAACAGCTTAGTTGAAATAACTTCTGTGGCCCTCGTGCTTCTTTCGGGTTGCTTGGCAACTATGCTAGCCTATGCTTCTGGAGAATAGAGCTATAAGAGTACCCTTCTGTGGCACTTACAATATCGCGGGAGTTTGTTTCATCAACCAGCGATATGAGTTAATCAGCTGCGAGTTGGGCGAATTCGGAACGTGGTCTGGAACTGCGAATGTCTTGCTTTTATCACCAGACTAACCTTGCTGGTGGGCTTGAATAATGGAGACATTTCCCTACACGCTGATCTTTGCCCGCTTGATCGGTGTGTATCTGTTCCGACCATCCTTCTAGAAGCTTGGAACCCCAAAGGACAGTTTCTTTTAAGGCTGCTACAATTAGTTCCGAGTCACATTTTTCAACTGCTTTGAGAACCAACTCAAGATCATCTTCATGCTCATCTTGGGTTTGCCCGCATATCGTAACGTCATCTACGCATCCAAGTATTAGCGATGCCTTCTTTCTTGAGTGATGAATTGTGCGCCATTAGTCACCAAGCCGGAACTGGATAGACTGCAACTGGTTTCAAAATCAGCGTATGGTCTCCCTGTACATTGTGGGAATCTAGTAATGAGCATTGGTGATCTAATCACTCATTTTATCGAACTTCGGCGACGCATCGAGATAAGTCGATTGATTGTCCGGTTGTTGACCGCTACTCATCTTTCGGGATTGGCGTTTTTGATGTGTGCTCGTGTCAAAGGTTCACCATTTCGTTAGATGGTCCGCTCGGACTCTTTTGAACTTTTCTTCAGAATTGTAGTTTCGTTCTTTGATCACGACCTGCTCGAATCGCGAGGATTTGTATTGTGACTCAGTTTGGAACGAGTTTAGCCTACTCTGGACTTGCTAACCATGGACTTTTCCCCGGACTATTGTACTGGGCACCCGCTCTGTTCCTTTCATTGTATTGTGAAACATCACGAAGAGAGATGGAATAGTTAACAAACGGGTAAATTGATTCCGAGCCACGTTCGAACTTCAGAGATGCTGGCCTCCAATGTGCTGGAAGTAAAAGCTGGATCACATCATCTGGATGATAAACTCAGTCAAAACCACTTCGTCTGTGTAGGTGATCCCTACACTAATACAGGTTTTTCAACCTTATTCTGCTTCCCTTATATCTCCTATCCTACAGAAATATGTCTCATCTTGGTAGTGAGCTCTGTCAGAACGATATTGGATGTGATAGCCATTTGCAGGAAGTATCAAATGAAGATAGCGAGTGCAGCTTTTTTATATCGTGATTTGCAGATGTCAGGTCTGTTGCGTTCCCTGCTCTCATGACTCTTGAGTCTCCAAACGCTACTGATAGTATATAGCTTACCAGACAGTCGCATCGTTAAACAGTTACAGCAGTGTCTGGATTGTCCACTGTGATTGAATCGATGAGAAACGTTTGCATCCAGGACCCAAATACGTCATGCGTCGGAGCTAGGCAATAGAGTTCTCGAAAAACGGCTGATGTCCAGTCCTGCAAGTACTTAGTCGGGTATCGTTAACAAGGGTACCGACATTCTAAGAGTTTTTCTTGCGCAGAAAACCCCAGCTTGCTTTCTAGTCACTTCAGCCGCTTGGTCAGCAAGGGTTGCATCGCCTTCTAGAGGCACTGCCCGCGAATTGTTTTTCCTACTAAAAATTGCTGATAAGATTTCATGGGATTTGTTTCAGGTCGAATCCCCAGCGCCATCTGGCTTTTTTTCATCGAGTGCGCAATTTGACATTTGCGTAATAAACTGCCATCTGCAAGGCAGCAGGAACAGGTGATTAGTAACATCAGAATGCCATTGGGTTCAGTAACCGATTCATGAGAAGGGTGTCGAGGCTTTACTACGATTGTGTAGACCGAGGACGTGTGTTCGTGTTAGCTAAAGGGTATCCTTAAGGAGGACTGCGAAATCTGGTAAGAATAAACGGCCAGTTAATTGGTTAAGCTTACGACGAGAGCCTGGGTAGAATGGTTTCAATCACAATTAGGTTAGCCGTCTGCCTCTACCAGTGTCTACAATTTGAGTGGCAGTCATGGTAGCTCTTAGATGATGGTACTTGAAGACGGCTGCACCAACCACAAGAGTATGAGCCTTATCGCAGCTGGTCGTTACCGGCTTCAATAGTACTTCGACGCCCAACCTCGAGAAGGGACAAGGCTGGGGTTCGATTAGGTAGAGAATACGCTGATTACACCTCATTACATCAAGCGCTTGAGCAGCGTCATACGTACCGCTATTAACAGTCTCCTGTGACTGCAGGAATTGTTCGATGGTCGTCCAGTCTAAGTGCTCGTAGCAGTCCTCATTCTTGTGCTCACGGTGGACTAACCAGAGGCTACCAAGAAACTATATATTTCACCGTTAAAGCTGGCTTTCCACGTCATCATGAAATGCACACTTATCGGGTGCAGTGAAACTTGGAATCAAATAACACGAGAAAGGACTAATCTACTGGCAGTAGGTCGTTATATGACGACCATGAATTTGAAGCATTCCCGTGTTACACGTTTTGGCCTCCTAAGCCGAATCTCCACTATTTTTGCATCTTGGAACTTCTGCTGAGGAAACTGGGCCGGGTCTGTTCGCATATTTCGGTGGCTGCCTAGATTATGAATGCACTGTAACAGACGAAGTCAGCGATCGCATTATCAAGGAACAAATGAGTGCTCGCCGAGTTGCACCATTTTGGACCTCAAAACATGTTGAATTAGAGATAGTGCAGTTTCTACAAAACAGCTGAGCCCAGTCGGTTTATGGTCATGAGACTCAGTCGCTCTATTATAAAGTTTCATCATCATGGCACTGCAGTTTTGGTTGGTTGCAACGTTTATGGCGACCTTTCTCGTAGGTGAACGTTTGGTGCTAAATCGGAATCCCTAGTGAAGGTGGTAAAACCTGCCAGGTTAGGTTAGTTGGGCAAGCCCATCCTGCCAACATCTACAAAAGAAAGCACTTTCTCGCTTCAAATTATTTTGACGGAACAGTCATGGAGGACAAGTCATGACATAACAACACCAACTGAAAGTGACACCTGTCAAAGCAAATGTGGAACTTGTAGCTTCCTGACAGGAATCCATATGATTTGACATTGACGCCGAGTCGATCGCCGAGCATGTATTGCTAAATCCTGTTGTACTCCGAGTTCCTTTCCAGAGCTTCACCAATGGTAGACCGACCCCCCTGTCGGCGTTTCACTGCAGCATGCTGTCCAATGTGTTTATTCGAATGCCGTTCAAAGATGCAAACATTCTAGCAGGTTCCTCTACAACTTAGTTCCTGTCATAAATCCCTATCCCCGCCTTCTTTTTGACCGTTTACTAGAGTTTTCGGCTGTGTGGTAGTGTATTATCAGCATTTTTTATCTAGTGAAGTTTCACCCGTGATTGTAATGACAGTCTTGTTTTCCCCACGAAAGCTTCCAATGTTCCTCTAATGTTTGGACACAACACCTGACATTTTACCTGGCTTGCCTACATGATATCGCTATCGGAAGCCTCTTCCGAGTTAGAAATAGTTTCTATTTTTTAAACGCTTGAAAATCCATTTCCCGCCAAAACCCTTACGCCACCATGTAGGACCGGTTTTAACTCTTCTCATAGTGACGCATCAGTGCTTGAACAGCGATGTTGTGCTGTCGATGGTGATGATAATGATAATAATTCGAATGTGAATGGTTCTAATGATGTCAGTGACTGTTAGTTCTAATCTTTTCATACTTCCGAAACCCTGGTCGCGGATGACTTAGTATAATCCAAGGGAAGGGGCTAATGTGTGACATCCCTACCTTCTGAACGCTTTTGCGACTTTGTGTCTGTCCGTGACTTCCTGTTCCACCCACTATGGTATATCAAATAGCACGGTAACTTCAGACAGCCCTTTATGGAGATGAAGGAAGATTATTACAACCGCAATCATCACAATGTTCCACAAGGTCGTGACATGGCGAGAAGCGTCGAGTTAAGATGCTCGGTCCAGATTGGTTGACATTCTAACCAATCAGGGCATGCCTTCATTTGGTCCGTATCCCGCACGTGACACATTCGTCCAATTGACGTGCTGTTCGATCACTAGGGACGACTGGCCTTCGGATACCAAGTTAATGGATCAGCTGTGATCGCTTATGTTTGGGCGATCCAAGGTTGTCTTCGTCACTGTGCTTATCGCAAGTTAGCAGGATGATACGACAGCTGAACGATGGATGATGGAAATCTCGAAACCAAACGACTGAATGATCAGAGTCAACCTGGCCGATGCCTTGATTCGATTGCACATCAGCTGGCGATTTTGACTGGGATCATGGTGCGCACCTAGTACTATACGTAGTCCATTTCAAGGCACAACTGAAATTTTATGTCTCATTTCAGTCAGTGCATGAGTTGTAATCTGTACTCAGATTTCATCGAGTTACTCGTTTTCTCTGCATGGTCGGCATGAACTGAATCAAGCGTGGAGGCTAAAAATATTCATTGGCACCCGAATTATCTTGCGGTTATTTTTTTATAGATATGATATTCGAAATTTCTTGATAATGAAGGCTTTAAGTTTCAGTAGATCCTGATGCGAATGCCAAGCCTGTATCAGCACCTTATGCTTAGTGCCTAGTGAAAACTCGCGCCGGAAAGAGACATTTTCTATTTCGCCGCTGTTTTGCTAATTTTAGGGAAACCGCAGTGGCTGCGAAGCGCCATATCTTGTTCGTGGTGAACATGTTGGTCATTTACCCTTTACAATCACTTTTTTCATTTTCCTTCCATCAGTCCCGCCATATGGCTGCCATTCTTGGACGACGTTTGTTGGTGAATGATTACACAGTTGCTTTTGAGCAACTACCACCCGAGACAAAGAACGCCGCAAAACAACAGCTTCTTGTAGGTTTGATCCACGAACCCGAACAGCCAATGCGCAAAAAGATGGCTGATCTTATTGCAGAGCTAGTCCGAGCCCAATTCGGTGAGTATATTGTCACTGGTCTGTAACGTGTTTGATTATTAACATCCCGCACGTTTGAGCCATTTGAACAAAGCTGTAAAAGGTTGTCCCGACTGATCAGAAACGACCAGATTCCTATTGTCGAGATGGCTCGTGGTTAGAGGTTGTCCCGACTGATCAGAAACGACCAGATTCCTATTGTCGAGATGGCTCAGTGGTTAGAGCGCGAATTTAATGACCGGAAGGTCCGTGGTTCGAACCCCACCTCTACCTCTCGACTTCCCCTGTCTAGGCTTGGGCAACTAGGCAGTATTCCAGCCCTCGTGCTTCCTTCTGGTGGCATGGCATTTAGGCACCGAAAGGGTGCTACAGCTGAATGATTTTTATATCGATCAGCTTTTGGTATGCTAGAGATTAAGGCCAGAGTTACTTACATGAAATTTGTTCTTGGTTCCGTCCATTTAATTTGTTAGTGATCCCTCCGCCTGACAATGCTATTTTCCTTTCCTTCGTAGCTCAGTGATTTTCGACGTTTCATTGAATCAAATCCTTTGGTGTAATAGTTTTGTCTAAGTCTGTCGTTTACCTCATAGGGCAGTAGTCACAGCACATGCGTTTGCTCTGTTACGGAGGTTACATTTGGGTTCATTGTAGACGACGATGGAAATTCGGAGTGGCCAGAATTCCTCCCCTTTTTATTGGAATGTTCCAACTCCACGGATAATGGCTTACGTGAAATCGCTTGCCACTTGTTTGCTGCTGTTCCAACGGTTTTCGGCAATCAGCAAGCCTCGAATCTGCCCTTAATAGGTCAATTCCTTGGTCGTGCTATCGGCGATCCTGGACACTATGAGCTCCGAGCGTCTGGAGTGCGAGCACTGACTGCTTTTATTGTACAAAACGCCACAGAAAATTCAGTTCTGCAAGCCCTCAAGGAACTAGCACCAATGATGCTTCAGGCAAGTTGTGCTGTTTTTGTGTACCACTGTGTGTCACTGGTTTTCTGTGGGACCGTTGTACTATTCGTGGTCGCAGCCGTAACATCATATCTGATAGCGGACAGCCCCAGACTTAGACTGCCGCTACTTGCTCCTCCAAAGTTTAGCCTCACGGGTTACTTTTGATTGACATGAAATCGTCAAAATGACTAAAACTTAGGTAGATGCTCTGAAACTAGTATACCACCTCATTCTAGCTAAACACGACTCAGTAATCAGAAACGGGTGATTCAGAAGAAGGAATGTCCGTCGTATGTGATGATGTTGTTCCACGGATTTGTAGATGTAGGTACGTTAGGCCGCACGACCGAAAGAGAATGATTTCGTGCTCGAGTTGCCCAAGTAAATGTCACTGTAACGTCGCGCCGGCTAATTAGTCAGTGACTATCACTTGCCTGTTGCCCTCACCAGTAGCGACATCGGTGTATCACTGCCAAGCTCTGATTTGAAAGGAATTAAACTGAAGGGAAAACCTTCTTACATGTAGCATTTTTCAACAAAATAGCAGCACTGTCCGGCCAAACTTGGGCGATGCTTGTTCCTTGGGCTCGGTGTCACGAACAGTGCTTCTCTGATGAATTACCGTCGGAGGCCACCAAAGTTTTCACACTAATTAATTAGGACTTAGTATGTATTTTTATTCTGGAAGATGGATGGATTGAGATTCGGCATATTTTTTTGGGCCCTATTGGCAACTGGTGTGTTCTCTATCGTGTCACCGTTTTCGATATCGACGGTGGTTCATCTGAAGATGATTTGTGGGACAGACTCGGACCCCCCGTGGCCATAGGAGCTTCGATAAAGAGTACTTCTTCAGGTTATCCAGAAGTCGCATGCCATCACCTTCAGTTAAATTGCTCGTTTAATTTAAATTAAAATTAAATTAAATTAAATTAATAATTAATTAATTAATTTAATTAAATTTAAATTAATTAAATTGTACATTTCCACAGCAGTTTAATCGCATCTGCCTACCACAGGGTGTAGAGAACGATAATGTCTCCTTGTTCACAGTCCCATTTCATCTCGGTGTCGGTATTTATTGTGATGAGAATTAAGAACGCAACCGTTCTCTAC